GGAAAGCATGAACGGGATAATGAATGCGTAGATTCACTGAAATGTCCTTCTCATAATCATCGGTCATGATGCATCTCCATCGCTAAGTCTCAGTCGAGGAATTTTTGTCCGCAGCAACCCAGACCGACAAAATTATGGGATCATGCAGGCAACGAGTAACAATATATCGCCCTTTCATATCTGAATAAGGGCGCCGCATATCCAGCAGACCAATTGCTGTGGATAATGTGGTCATATCAGTATTTGGGAATCATCCATATGAGGGTAAGTACGCACCAAGCCCATCGGAATGGCTGACAGATGGGCTCACAACTTCAGGAATGTGGATGAATTCGATTCCCACAACCTAAAATTGACCTCCATCACGCTATTGGTGATTGGATTGTCTTCGTTCAAGGTTTACTTCTTACCCAGTAGTCACAAATGTCTATTCTCGGGTGTAATTCTTGTACGAGGGTAGCACTGCACTGTTGTGTTCAATCATCATTCAAGCAACTGTTAAAACTCGGCTTACATGTGGGGAAACAGAATCGCAGACGACAGGTGTTCACTTGATCGAGGTCCAACTGACGGTAGGAGACTAATGTAAGTTCATGACAAGCCTTCAACGGCTGACGTATGAAGAAAATTGAAAAGATTGATCGAATGAGACTGGATTGGATTGGGTTGTATCAAAAATGTACTTCGAGTGAAGATGCGGTCAATACGCGGCAAGTTCAGCAGAAGAATATAGCGAACGACAGGTTCAGGTTGGATCCAGCTGAGTTACTCAATAATATCAACCGAATTCGCACAGGAGTGTAATTCGACAACTGCTTAACATAAGGTTTATGAAAACTCATAGAGGCTGAATGTGGGTTGAACGGTTAGTAAGCTGTCGGATAATTTTCAGCAACCTTGTAAGTAGTGTGTTAGGTCATGAAAAACAAAGCACCATTTAGCAGACACAACACTTTCGCGCCGCATCTTCAGTTCAGCACTTGTTTTGCTGATGACAACAAAATATCATTTCTAGGATTTCACCTGTATAATCGCAGAAAAATATTGATCGTTAGTGCAAGGCTCAACAATGACGCGGCATGTACTGCAAACGGGATATAAAATATACTTAGAAACGTTGAGGCTGGGGCCAAGATTCTCGACACAGAGACTATATCTTGAGGGTCTGGAAATCAATAAGCATCGCCATGTGAACAGGACGGTGGTAGACATGGAAAGTGTGTGCGGGATGGTTGCGTTTCCGTCTGTAATAAAAATTTGGCCAACGTACTTACCTACTCAATTAGCCTGACGAATCTCTAGTGTCGAAAGAGAGGCGTTAAAGTCCAGCTATAAACCAACGATTGTTAAGCGATGACTTCTCAGTAGATTCCAAGCTTTTCCAACTGAATGAGAGTAAATGTAGATTCTTCTTTACTGGTTTAAGGGGGGGGGGGTAAAAACCGATTGGGAAAGATTTTCGCTATTCTTTGCCTAACGGAGTTCACGACCTATTTACAGCTTTGCCAGAGCACGATTTTCATTTCCAAGCCTTCCAAAATATTGAGACGGAAAACGAGTAACGTAAACGGACTATCAACAGAAACGGGCAAAAGGTTGCTGTCGTATGTAGACGAACTGAGCTATCCTAAGGGAAGTAGCGCTTCTCAGAGTATGGGGAACAGAATAACAGCTAGTCTTAAAGCTCCGTTAACAAGGCTGATAATGACACGGTCTTGCACTATGGCTCAAAGAACTGGACGACTCTGGGGCATACAAACGAATACACAGCAGTAGGGGAGAATTTCACCCAACCTCTCCTTTGCTTTCCTGACCTAAAACAGCCCGACAGGGCAGAGTCGTTTATCCTTAGTTGTGACTACGTTAGATTTGGCAGAAACCAGTAGGGAGATACGCAGACGCTAGAAATGTCTCTTATTCACTCAAAAGTAACCTAGCACTGGACATCGTTCTATGATGTAGGAAGTATCCATCACGAGTGAAGCACTCTCATCCAGGGTTATCTCAAGCTGTGTGGTAAGGCTGGCACCTACTTCAGTCGATATATTTCTCACCATTATGATCGACAGCCTCTTACGCTGGATGTGTGAAAATATCGTGAGCCTTTTCTGGTCTTCAAAAAAAATGCTACTTGATTTTCATACAAGTAATCTGAATTACGGGAACATTTAATGCAATCATTGCTGATGAACACTTTTCATCTTTCCTTTTCCTCTTCTAGGCCCTCCGTCTGCACCAGAGCAACTACAAACGACTAAAATCAATGGAACATCGGTTACCCTTAGATGGCAAAAGCCTCTGCAAAACGGCGGTTTAAATGACACGTACTACAACGTCATGTGTCAAGAATGTGACGTCAGTTCTTTGTTGTACAAGCCTGGAAGTACGCTGAGGGAGACTGAGTGAGTTTCGGTCTCATAATCCAGGTTGATCGATGCGTTTTGAGGAATGTAGTTTAAACGTGACAATCGACTTTCCATCTTTACTGGGAAGAGCCGACAACAGATTACCTATATCCAACATGAAACAAGATTGCGATTGAAACTACTCACAAGGTTGCTGAAAACTCTTCGACAGCCCACGACCTCTTTCGCCCATCTTGAGGCCCATCAGGTGGGCGCAGTCTCCGAGTTTCCGTCAACATTATCTTCTCCTTGAACCCAAATTGGACTTCTTTTGAGAAATTCACTCATTTGCGAATTAATTCGGTTTTTACGAAAGACACAACTGAATCTCTCGTTTATGCTATTCCACAACTGAATATGCTGCACACAAGCCAATTCATGTATGGAAAGCAGACTGATTTGCAGCTGAGTGTATTTCTCAAAAATTACGATTATGGTTTGAATTTGTAGTCTGGCCTTAGATATAAGACAGTCGAGTCCATTCACACAGTCATCAAATCCACGGGATTGTTCCCTCAGATCCGTTAGGAATCCATCAAGGACGGTCTACAGTTGGCTGAATGGCGGTGTAATTTAGGGCAAAAACCAGATAACCATAGAATGATTAATGGAGCTGTGGCTCTCACGGTGAGTCAGCTTGTATCAGAGCTCTGTCAATTTGGAGTTGATTGAAAGGAAGCAATTCAAGTCAAATCCATGAAGCTGTTCGAATAGTCTCAATGACCTCATCGCTGCACATCAGACTAGTTCTGTCCCGAATTTCAACTCTTTCTCACCCAGCCGCACCAAATAAATCATATGGCCTAAGTAGCTTAGTGAACTCAGAGGGTTTGACACTCCTTCATTAAAACAAGAAACGTGCCTCAGCACAAAAAATCGGGGAGATTCCCGAAATTACCAGACTAGCTTACGGTATGAACTCACGGGGATATTGGAGCCAGCCTGCATTGTTTGGCTGAACAAAGGATGTGTTGGTACGCATTAATTACACCTACGAAATTTTTCAAATTTCAAAAGTATTAGAGCAACCTTCGTGGTTACCAACTGAAATGTTACTAATAAACATCGGTTTCATCCTGCCTGTGTATGGCAATGCTTGTTTGGTAACCGAGCGAGAAGGTATGGGAAAAGCAGGCCATTTGGCAATTTCCAGCTGAGGCTACGTCCTGTAAGCGTAACCAATGTATGCCGAGAAATACCAGAACCCCACAAAGTTTCGCACCTGAGGCTGAGGTTTCTCAACCTAGATTGGCTACATTTACAGAGCACAGTCTCAACCGAATGCCGACCGATATTCCCGTGAGATTCACTAAACCACTGTAGAATTTAATAATGATCTAGCGGTGAGCTTCTAAAAGTTTGACCCCACATCGAATGCAGGTGGCCTAGGCCACCACGCAGCAGTAGTCCAAGTCCCCGGCTTACCAACTGTTAATGAAGACTACTCAAAAAACAGACCAGACAGGCCTATTTGCGTTGCTTCTCAAACCGCCTCCCCAGATCAGTTCACCATTGAGACAGATCATCTTTAGTCACCGACAAATAGTTAAAGATTAGCAGAGAGGAACGAGAGAGTTCAGCGAACTTGTCCATTTCAGTTGTTTTCCATTAGGAGCCCGTCCAAAGTGACCACCGACTGGAACAGCTAAGGGTACAAACCAAATACCATTCAAATCCATTCACCAGGAAAATAAAAACGTGAACCCATACATTTGTTGTGCGGCGTATAAACACAAGTCATGTCTTGAAAACTCCGTCAGAGTGAATGTGCGCAACTGCGCGATGACCTGTTAGAAACATGAGGTGCGTAGAAGTCAGGAGAGAAATTTAACGATTCAGTTGTGAGTGGTCGTGGGATTTGAAGAATGCAGACTCATATCAGTCTACTTTCAGAAATCGTCGTTCTGTCCTGGCGCAATCATTCTGGTGAGTTCACACCAAAGAAGGGAAGCACTAGGTTCGAGTTTCAGTCCTATTGGACCTCAAAAACAGTGCACAACTTTCACCGCTCCGGGGTTCGAACTCCGCACGTCTGATATGTGAGATAACTCCACAAACGCACGCTGGATGCATCTGAACTTTCATGGCTGAACAGGTGAAAATATGAGTAGTATTTGAAATTCAATACGCCTGCACTACGAATGTCTGGTCACCATAGATGAGGTTACTTCAGACACGTCCAAGTGTTGTTTGACGACGCAAAGAAAGATTGTTCAAGTCTTCATAAAGGGGACTATTCACAAGATTGCTGAAAACTCTTCGACAGCCCACGACTGGTTTCGCCCTTCTTGGGGCTCAGCAGATAGGCGCAGTCCCCGAGTTTCCGTCAACCTTATGTTCTAATTGAACCCAAATACACTCAGTTGAGTCTCTCTCTTGAAAACCAAATTGATTTGCAAATGAGTGTATTTGTCGAATGTTCATGTCTATTTGTTCTCAGCAGGGCACTACAAGTCAAGTACTTACTCCATTACTCCGGACCCCCAGCCGATTTCTCCTAACAAAAACACTACCTATGAATTCAGTGAGTACACCTATCCACGTGTAGGAAAATTAGAGACGACTGACCAATCACATTTGAGTTTTGAATTGCGACTTTCTTCTCTATGATTTGAACCACTCGAAAAATCATTAACTTTTCAAGTGATAATCAAACATTTGATTGTATTCCGATATAATTATGAAGTGTTTTACTTAATATTCACTGTTATATTCCCACCTTTCTCTCCCCCCCCCAATAACTGAAGAAATACTCAATGGCATTTGACTTGCAACATCCTGTACACCTCCTAGTCATATTGACAAGAAAGACAGTTTCATAAGATAGCCGTATCTCTGGCCCAAGCAATGGGGGAGCAAAGGGGATTTTTCCCAAACAAATGTTCTTGAAAGAAGCAAGGTGTGCGATAGCCTTACCGAATGCGCTGTTATCACATGCAATGCCATTGTCTTCTCAACGTATTATCTATCCATAATCTAATTCACTAAACGTGATCATAACTGTCCTATCATCCTTTGAAGTTCTCTTTGTTTTTGCACCCCACTGTTGGCCAAAACATGTCTAACCCGATTGGAACACAGTGAACAGATAATTCTTGTGTTTATTGTTTATGCAGAGAACTCAGTGAAATAATATACACCCTTCAGAGCCGAAAACGACACAAAAGAGCGAAAGCCTTTTTGTGCGGCAGTGAATGGGTTACAAACTAATTGGATCAGTTGTGTCAGATACAGCAATAGCAGACAATGATGTCCACTCAAGCCGTCTTGACCCGTGCATATTGATTTCCAAACGGTCGCACACGCCGAATTTCCTGTCTTTTAAGGGCTTTCTTTGCGTTTGAAATTTTTTCAAAAGGTGATCTGAGTTTTCAGAAAACCAGCATTCCAGATGAGACATCTGGAACACACACCTGATATAAACAAAACAGCACAGGCTGGAGACGAGGCATTAATCCCCGTTTCATTACATATAGTGATTACTGTGCGCTCACAGCCGTTGACACCATACTACTCAGCTGCTAGGCCTATTCACAACGGATCCATGGTTAATCTGCCTCTATATTTGTGTTAGTATTGGATGGTAATTCATTTAGGTCACTCTGAAAAGTACCAGTTTAAAATGATGACGATGGAAGTAAATCAAGTAAACCCAGGAACACGCAACACAAAAAACCAATGTCTACAGTCACAGCTTAACTCATGAATTCGTCCAAATCTAATGATTGTCAAGGGAACACGCATTTATGGCCAAAGAACTGTAGTTTGTTCGAACAAAAACATCATTCTGGGGAGATATCATTTTGTGTTTTTTGGCATTGTGGCGAAAAATCACCGAGTTCGACTTTTAATCTTACAGGATCTCATTAGCCGCGTGAGTCCTGAGAAGCGTGAGGGTTAAAACCACGGACATCCGATAAATTATGCCTTCGTGTTTTCACCAACTCCCCCTCAGAATATGCTGGTCTAACCCCTGTTTAAATGTCTGAGCATGTAGGGGTTCTTGCACTGTACCTGAGTGATCGATTTGAATAACGACCCAAGGACACTTCGGCTACGACCGAAGTGTCTACTCACGCGCATGTCATGAGTAAGCTGTAGGGCACGGCCATGGAAATCTGGACCGCATGCTTCTTCATTGCTCTAGGAAAGTTACGCAAAGTTGTATTTATTACGCAGCGTCCGTGTTGTCCGATGATTAAGAAATCCTGGCATGCGGGCGATTCTATTCACACAGTAAGCATACTCAATGGGTTGTTCAAAGTGCGAACATGTTCGCCTGTTCACGGGAATCCAGGAGGAGGATGCTGCAGTGTGCGGCCATTTCATCTACATTGCGAATCATCAGAATTGCAAATCTGAATGAAGACGGACGAGATTCGAACCCCAAAACTTCAGGTTGGTGGTTCAGAAGGAAACCACTGACCCACGAAAAATCGATCACTGGTGTGATTAACTTCCACTGGCTCCTCAGCTTGAGGCTTCATGTCAGTTTTGAACTCTTCCTCCCTTTGAGCTATTTAGACTATTGTTGATAGTTATTTGCTCCGGTTTGCTTGACTGGTGACTAGCCGCTGTATTTGTTTTCGTTTTTTCGTTCAGGCTACTGGATCACTGAATTCAAACGGTTCAAGGTTAAATTAGAAACTGATCACTATTCAAACACCATTACTTTCAGTAATCTTCAAAGTGACAGATTAGTCGGGGTGTTAGATGGACTCGGTGAACGAGTTATTGAAATGATCATTGGATTCAAATGAGATCTTCAACAGTGCTGGCCATGATCGTGCCATTTGAGATACTACGGAGAAATTTTGATATCCACGATGCTTGTTTGGTTGTGCTTCGGAGCACGGTCATTCCCGCAAGCGATCAGCTGCCCGTAGCAACATTGGAGGACTTACATTCTGGTGAAAGCCAAAGCTTGACGACCTGACCTAGTTTCTTGCCACCAACTGCAAATTCTATTGCCAAAGAGCCATCTGGTTCCTATTTAAGTACATTCCGCCAGCGATTCTCAAGAGTTTTCGTCGCAGTAACCCTGTTAAAGACGCAGAATGCAGTTACAGACCCCCATGGGATGGCTCGCATTCTTCTATTGGGCTGCCAAATTAATGACAATGGGAAGCACGGGAAGCGTTAAATTTCCGCTCGTACTTGAGTTCTGCGGATGGTAACTCTTTGGTGAAACTTGGCCAGTAAACCTCCTCAGAACACAGGCTCTATGAGTATTCCAGAGTGCCCGACAAAAGTGCTTGACACAGGGCTTTAAGTTTCCGTCAAACGAAAATCTGCCCGTTCGGGTCGGTATCACTCAAGAGGCGTCAAAGCCTCACTTCACCGGCCAACGAAGATTTGCTCTTATAAACTGCCGGAAACCAAGAAAGTTTTAGCTAGCTGCCCGGATTGTGCACTGAAGCACATTGTTCGGCAATATCCAAGCGGCTCAAGTCAGTCGTATGATTCAGAGAGCGTTCACTCTAGAAAACGTTAGCGTCTTTTCTTTTCCGAACAATTCAGATGAACAATGTTCTTTGTGAGTACAGCAAGGCAACCTAGGTAGGCTAGCTTACGGCTGAAATTGTACACTTGGTTTCCAAACCAGAATTAGGCATGTCTGAGGCGAACTCGGTCATCGCTTCACGGTCGCTGTTAAAAAAACCATAAAATTCTGTTCGAACTGACAACAGCGTCTAAGTTGGACACAAGTTGCTTGTGTGCGTGTGTTGAACCGACGCACAAATGCGCCCGTCAGCGCACTTTTCTGATATGGTGAAATGGTCCAAGCTGGAACGGGAAATGAGACTGCAACGAGCACACTAGCAGCTAGTTGTAATAGCCGGCGTACTGCTCCCTCTGGGTCCCCACTCTACATGAGGACCATGAAATTTTTGTGCTGTGTTGATGCAGGTGACATTGGAAAATCGTCTACAGATGTATTTTAGACGGACGCGGATCCAGGGAGATGGATCTAGGCTTTGAATACTGCCCATGATATCCCTTTGAATGTGATTCATTTTCACCTGAGATCATCGATGTAGCTACCATTAACCCTTACTAGCAGTTAAAGAATCTGAATGTAAACGTGGAGGAGCTATGCGAGTGAGAACGGGAGGGCATCCACCAAAACGCACAAATATTTCTTTCAAGTTAGTCGCGAAACAGATTACGGATCAACTAAACTGCACTGACGAACGGAAACCTCATAAAGTTCCTGAAAATCCGTCGACAGCCCACAACCTTATGAGTAGTACACTACAAAGATATACACGTATCGATACGATATCTCGAATATCGCAGTGAGTGAAACATGAGGCGGCCTGGTGCAGCGCATTCAGTTGCCTGAGAACATCACAAACGAGAGATTAAGCTGGATTCCAGGTGAGTCTCTCGAAAAACCAAATTAGTTTGCAAATCAGTGTACATTCGGAAATCTCTGAAATTTCAATAGCCATACAAAGGAATTGTTTTTAGATCACAAGTAAACTTTGTCCATCCTAACTTCAAGGTATAGGCAGGTATGGCGAGGTTCAACCTTAACAAACTTTAGATCCCTTCCATCTTCACGTCTGAGACTCCGTTCGACCTAACTGGGACTCCAAAGGCTTTTCATCCACAGTCACGCCGTGTATTTGCTATCGATTCTCTGCATCTTTCACGGCACATAACCCCTCTCCCTACGCCCTCAATTCATCCTCCGTAGTTATTGTAATGAAGGTAGGCAGCCGGAAGGAATTCCGCAGAAATTTCACGGATTTGACTACTTCTGTCAGAGCTTTGTTTCTACAAGACACTCGTTAGATTTGATTCGACTGGCGGGTTGCACATATGACCCTTCAGTGTTCAGCACTACTCTGAAGCTGTGATTTCATTTCCCAGTTCCTTGAAACTTATATTCGCTGTCGTGGAGACGATGGAGAAATAAAGGGTTCTTACTATTATCCATTAATCGAGTTATATACAAAAGACGAACTTTTACGTCATTCAGACAAGTGTCATATTTGGATTCCTTGAAGGTGGTTCCCTCGTGTACCGGAAACCCGTTGCACTATTACAGTAATTCATTCTCATGGAGGCAGTCTAGCGTGTTTTTTTACGCCACTATTGTATTTCTGGTGGGATTTTCCAGCGTTTTCTCTCACAGTACCGCACCGACCTTTTACCACGTTTGTTCCATTTCAATAGGGTTGAAATTAGTGGACTGAAACCAGCAACCAGGTACCACTTTCAAGTGTCGGCCAAAAATTCCGTCTCAGGATTGAGCGGGTCATTGTGGAACAGCGTTGCTGGTATAACCGTGACGACCACCTCGGGTATGTTCATGATATAAACTAGAATAAAAC